CTGAAGCACCACTTTAGCTAATAGGGCCTCCTGCTGCTGCCGTGCCGCCGGAGCACAATTTCTGTTCTCATCCTGAAGCAAAGTTCTCAACCTGAGGTACTATTAGTGGGTTAGCGGGGTCTGTTACCTGAAGGCGTATGTAACCTGAAGCGTATGTAACCTGAGGTACCACTGTAAATATGATATGATACGATATCTTTATTCTCATTGTCCCATACAGAACAATGAAATTGAGAAATCTACAAAAGACATTCAAAACCCCCTAAAAACTCTGAAACCCCATTTTAAAATACAATACACTATACAGACTTCTTATACAGTGGTACCTCAGGTTAAGTACTTAATTCGTTCTGGAGGTCCGTTCTTAACCTGAAACTGTTCTTAAGCTGAAGCACCACTTTAGCTAATGGGGCCTCCTGCTTCTGCCGCGCCACTGGAGCACAATTTCTGTTCTCATCCTGAAGCAAAGTTCTTAACCCGAAGTACTGTTTCTGGGTTAGCAGAGTCTGTAACCTGAAGTGTATGTAACCTGAAGCGTATGTAACCCGAGGTACCACTGTACTGCGTTTAAAAGCAGAATTGCATTTGGTTTAAAAATTATTATTATTATTATTATTATTGTAACAGGACCAATGATGATGGGAACTGTAGTCCCAAAACAGCTGGAGGGCCGAGTTTGGGGATGCCTGCTTTAATCCGTACAAAGAGAAATCCCTATGACGGGCAGAATCCGAGACCAGGGAGAAGAGTCGGTGAAAGAAGACTGGAAGAAATTTAAAGACTATTTACAGAAATATTGTAAAATTAATGAACTTTAGAAGGATGTTGGATAGAAACTAAGTGGTTTCCAGCTGTAATGCTTTAAGAGATATGAAAAAAGGTTTACAAATGGGTAAAAGCTTAATGGTAAGGATTTGCTGAACTAACAAACCAAACTGGAATACAAAAAAGGGAGGTATGAGGAGGTCCGGGGAAATAAGGTTAGGGAAGGTATATTATGGAAAGTTAATGTGTTTTTAACGGTATTTTGTATGTTTTTTTTCTATTTTTCTTTTTTTTGTTATATTTTAAAAATATTCTTTTTTCTGTATTTTGTACTTTCTTGTATTCCTATTTTTTTTTGTTCTTGTATTTGTTGAAACTTTAATAAATATCATAAAAAAAAAAAAGAGAAATCCCTAAATCGTGGAGGATGGAGGGGGGGGACAATGTCCTCCAAGTACTCCCTCCACCTCCATCCAGCTGCGGGCGAGGGTTGTTAATTAGGGAGGGGGGGCAAGGCTGCTATTTTCCTTCCGTCTCCCCCCCCCCCCCCGCCTTCTGTCCTGCCCTCGCCCCCTCCCCTCCCGCCCGCCCCGCTTTACGAGCCTGGGAAAGTCTTCCACACGCCCAGGTGCCAAGTGCCTCCCACGCCCGCCTGCCCTTTGATCCGCCTCCCTAGCGCCACTTGTAGATCCCCGGGACCCCCCGCGGAGGTGTCAAATGGCACCTCTGGCCAAACCGGCTGCCCACGAGCCTTGGCACCTCCGGGCACCTGCCGGAGACCCCCGAGGCGCAGCGGGAGGAGAGAGCGAGAGATCTGCCGGGTTCAACCCGCAGGGTGTCTATCTGCGCCTCCTCCTCCTAACTGGGGAGCGTTTGTTAGAGGCGGGGGCCAAAGTTCTCCCAGCTCTAAGCCCAAAGGCGCTTTGCGTGCCACGTGTGACAAGAAGGAAAAGAAGCGCAAGCGGTGGTGGTATAGTAGTAGTAGTAGTAGAAATAATAATAATAATAATAATTTATTATTTATACCCCACCCATCTGGCTGGGTCCCCTCAGCCACTCTGGGTGGCTTCCAACAAAAACTAAAATGCAATAACCTATTAAACACTAATAAATAATAATAATAATAATAATAATAATAATATAATTTATTATTTATACCCCACCCATCTGGCTGGGTCCCCTCAGCCACTCTGGGTGGCTTCCAACAAAAACTAAAATGCAATAACCTATTAAACACTAATAAATAATAATAATAATAATATAATTTATTATTTATACCCCACCCATCTGGCTGGGTCCCCTCAGCCACTCTGGGTGGCTTCCAACAAAAACTAAAATGCAATAACCTATTAAACACTAATAATAATAATAATAATAATAATATAATTTATTATTTATACCCCGCCCATCTGGCTGGGTTTCTTCTGCCACCCTGAGCGGCTTCCAACAGAACACTTAAATACAATAACCTATTAAACATTAAAAGCTTCCCTGAACAGGTCTGCCTTCAGATGTCTTCTAAAAGTCTGGTAGTTGTTGTTCTCTTTGACATCTGGTGGGAGGGCGTTCCACAGGGCGGGTGCCACTACCGAAAAGGCCCTCTGCCTGGTTCCCTGTAACTTGGCTTCTTGCAGGGAGGGAACTGCCAGAAGGCCCTCGGAGCTGGACCTCAGTGTCTGGGTACAATGATGGGGTGGAGACGCTCCTTCAGGTATACTGGGCCTTCGAGGCCATTTGGGGCTTTAAAGGTCAGCACCAACACTTTGAATTGTGCCCAGAAACGTACTGGGAGCCAATGTAGGTCTTTCAAGACCGGTGTTTATGTGGTCTCTCGGTGGTCACTCCCAGTCACCAGTCTAGCTGCTGCGTTCTGGATTAGTTGTAGTTTCCGGGTCACCTTCAAAGGTAGCCCCACGTAGAGCGCATGGCAGTAGTCCAAGCAAGAGATAACTAGAGGATGCGTCACTCTGGCGAGGCAGTCCGCGGGTAGATAGGGTCTCATCCTGTGTACCAGATGGAGCTGGTAGACAGCTGCCCTGAACACAGAATTGACCTGCACCTCCATGGACAGCTGTGAGTCCAAAATGACTCCCAGGCTGTGCACCTGGTCCTTCAGGGGCACAGTTGCCCCATTCAGGACCAGGGAGTCCTCCACACCCGCCCTCCCCCTGTCCCCCCAAAACAGTATTTCTGTCTTGTCAGGATTCAACCTCAATCTGTTAGCCGCCATCCATCCTCCAACCGCCTCTAGACAGACAAAACGGAAAGAAGTGCCAGCGGTAGTCGTAGTAGTAGTAGTAGTAGTAATAATAATAATAACAATAACAAATTTTATTTATACCCTGCCCTCCCCAGCCAAGACCGGGCTCAGGGCGGCTAACACCAGGTATAAAAACAATTGATTAAAATACAACTTAAAAACAAGATTAAAATACAACATTAAAATGCAGCCTCATTTCAGCAGATAAGCACTTTAAATCATTGCAACCCTGCCCACCCAACAAAGGCGGTTGAAAAATGAAAAAAAGGCAGTGCACCGGCAATAAAATGGTTAAGAGTCCATCCTGACTTGCGCTACCGCTGCAAGAATCTCAAGGGGAAAAATCCAGATGTTATACACAGCATTGGTGGTTCAGTGGTAGAATTCTCGCCTGCCACGCGGGAGGCCCGGGTTCGATTCCCGGCCAATGCAACTTGACTTTTTGGCTTAATTGTCTCTCTCAGTGTATAAGAATGGTGGAACTTTTTGGTTTGGGAACCACTTCAAAGGAGCACCGGAATTTCCTTCTGGCCTTCTCACCCCCCACGTAACCTAAAGGAGCTTTCAAACAGGGGAGCATGGAAAGTATCCAGCCTCAATTATCATGCCCAGAAGTGGCTCCCATTGGATTCAATGGGGCTTTTCTGAAATAGGATGACAGCCAAAATCGCTCAGGTTTTCACTGACAAAATAAATCAGGGGAGAGTGAGGAAGGGGGAGCTCTGGCCAGGAAGTGGAAGCCGGGGGTCAAATCCAGACTTCCCAAGTGCAGGCAAGATTTGAGGCACCGCCTGGGCGTTCTTATTTTTGCAAGATTGTGCAAGATTGGTGTTCGTGGTGCAGTTATGTTTTTCTGCAAAAAGCTTCGCCTCGATTGGATGCAAGGTTTGGGGAGGGGTGCGTTCTTCCCCGATCTCCGTTGCCCCGCCCCGCTTTAAGCAGGAATGCAATGGTCCTGCCACGTCGCGTGCTTCTAAACCATCCATCGCCTCTTTCCTTTTATTCCGTGGGAACAAGATCCAGCTTCAAAGGCCGGCCTATTCAGAGTCACACCTTCTTTTTCGGGGGCGGCGGGTGGGAGCGGGGAGTTTCACAGCTCCCAACGCCCAAGAGCGCCACCCCCACCCCATTTGACGTGGCTCAGCAAATGGGGGCACTGGGGGCACCGAGGGGGTGCTGTGAGTTCCTCCCACCCTGGAGGGTGGCGGAGATTAGGAGCTCTGGAGAGCTGCTGTGTAGTAGTAGTAATAATAATAATAATTATTATTATTATTATTATTTATTTATTCCCCGCCCATCTGGCTGGGTTTCCCCAGCCAATCTGGGCAGCTTCCAACAGAACACTAAAATACAATAACCTATTAAACATTAGTAAAAGGTAAAGGGACCCCTGACCTTTAGGTCCAGTCGTGGCCGACTCTGGGGTTGCGGCGCTCATCTCGCTTTATTGGCTGAGGGAGCCGGCATACAGCTTCCGGGTCAGGTGGCCAACATGACTAAGCCGCTTCTGGCGAACCAGAGCAACGCATGGAAATGCCGTTTACCTTCCCGCCGGTGCGGTACCTCTTTATCTACTTGCGCTTTGACGTGCTTTTGAACTGCTAGGTTGGCAGGAGCAGGGACCGAGCAACGGGAGCTCACCCCATTATTGGGATTCGAACCACCAACCTTCTGATTGGCAGGTCCTAGGCCCTGTGGTTTAACCCACAGCGCCACCCGTGTCTTTAAAAGCATTAAAAGCTTCCCTAAACAGAGCTGCCTTCAGATGTCTTCTAAAAGTTTGGTAGTTATTTTTCTCTTTGACATCTGGTGGGAGGGCGTTCCACAGGGCGGGTGCCACCACTGAGAAGGCCCTCTGCCTGGTTCCCTGTAACTAGAACCCTGTGTCTAGAACAACCTAGAATCATAGAATTGTAAGAGATGGAAGGGACCACGAGGGCAATCTAGTCCGACCCTGGACGACGCTAGAATCTTTTGCCCAAGGTGGGGCTTGAACCGACGACCCTACGATTAAAAGTCTCATGCACTACCAACCTGGAGCCGCCCCGACCAACGTGGTCATTAGAAGGCATAGGGGCCAAGGCCTTTGCTCAATAATTTCAGACAAAATTGCTGTGTGATGTATTTTTCACTTGATGGGGGAAAATAGGGCCACCCCACCATGTTTGGGAGAGACGTCCTGGAACGTTGTATGCCTGCTGACCAATATTCGCTTTGATTTGCAAAGGGTTACTAATATGAGCGGTGCTATTATGTGTGCTCATGGAGGCAGTGAGAGATTTTACTTTCTTGGGCTCCATGATCACTGCAGATGGTGACAGCAGCCACGAAATTAAAAGACACCTGCTTCTTGGGAGAAAAGCAATGACAAACCTAAACAGCATCTTAAAAAGTAGAGACATCACCTTGCCAACAAAGGTCTGTATAGTAAAACCTATGGTTTTCCTAGTAGTGATGTATGGAAGTGAGAGCTGGACCATAAAGTCCCTAAGGCAGTTGGGCGGCTTGTAGGCTTCTTGCTGGCAACTGCTGCAGCCAAGCTGGTGCCAAACGTCTTGCTCTGCACCCTCTATGGCTCTGCTTTGCCGCTAGATTGGTAACTTCAGTGCGTGCCTGAATTCAGGGGCAGAAACACTTTGCGTACCAGTGTCTGGAAGGCAGAGGTGGGCTGAGTCTCTTATGCTCGGATCCTGCTGGCAAGATTCCCACAGGTTCCGGTTGACCACAGCGAGAAGAGTCTAGGTGGGCTGCCTTTGGCCTGTTCCAGTGGGCTCCTCTTGTAGTCTTATGTAGATGCCATACATTAAAAGCAGACACACCCCAGGAATCCTTAGTTCACCCCCTCACAGAACTACAACTCCCAGCACCCTTAACAAACTACAGTTCCCAGGATTGTTAGAGGGAAGGTCATGTCCTTTAAATGTACAGCAGGTAACACAGTCTCAGGCAAGGGGGGACCCCCAGCCCCTCACAGAGATTGAGGCTGGGAGATTATTTTTGCCCGCAAAGCATTAACCCTTTGCCAAAAAGCTAGGCTGCGTTGGCCGGGAATCGAACCCGGGTCAACTGCTTGGAAGGCAGCTATGCTCACCACTATACCACCAACGCTGGCGACTGAAGCTGCCTCCAGCATCACCTTGGCTGGGAACTTCTCCACAAACATCTGGCACTCCCTGTAGCGTCACAGGCAGATTTCTGGCCTGATCTAGCAAGGCTGCCCTTCTTAGCATCTTGGAAAACTGGCTCTGCAATATTGCACCCTGGTTTCTGAAATGCTGAAACTGGTAGGTCTGGCGCAGGGCCGGCCCTCCTGTGAGACAAGCTGAGACAACCGCCTCGGGCGGCAGGATCCCCAGGGGCAGCAGATCTGGCCTCCAAGTTCCCGACAACGTTAGATCTTCACTCCCTCCCTTCTTTCCTAGCCAGTTTTGCAGTTTGCCTCAGGTGTCAAAATATCTTGGCCCAGCCCTGGTCTGGGGGCAGCTCCAAAACGTCCCTTTGGTCACCTGAATTTTCATCTATTTTCTACTGCTCCCTCCCTCCAGCGCTTCAGTTCTAAACAAATAGGTCCTGGAGCTCAAAGCTCCAATCTTGCCAATGGAAGCCTTTTTTCCTAATATTGAACACACTTGGGGCTGGGGATTGACTGTGACTTCTCATGGTGATGGGAAAACACTCTGCACATGCTTAAAAGGCTCTCTCCCTCTCGCCATTCCTTCACCTGAGTGAAACCTATGGTTGAAAACAGCTTATGGCACAATTAAGTCCAGATTCCACACTGGAGCCTCAGAGGCAGATTCCTCTTCCAGGAACTGTACTTTCCTTCTCCCAGAGCTACAATTCCTAGCGCTCTTAAGAAACTATGTTTCCCAGGATTCTTTGGGATAAAGCCGTGCTCTTTCAAACGTACGGTGTGTATGAGTTGTGGGGTTCTTGCTTTGTCCTAGAATTAGCGTTAACAGTAGTCTGGTGGTTGGACTTGTAAAAGGGTGAAAGAGTATTGGGAAATGATCCATAACGAATTGGGGGGGGGGGAATGTTTAAAAGTATTCCCCCCCACACACACCAGAGTCCTTTCTGTTGCGGATAATTCAGGCTGAAATTCCCAGGTGTCGAAAAGGGTTATTTTTGTCATCATCATCATCATCATCATCATTTATTATTTATCCCCTACCCATCTGGCTGAGTCTCCCCAGCCACTCTGGGCGGCTCCCAATCAAGTGTTGAAACAGTACAGCATTAAATATTCAAAACTTCCCTGAACAGGGCTGCCTTCAGATGTCTTTTAAAGATAGGATAGCTGCTTATTTCCTTCACATCTGAAGGGAGGGCGTTCCACAGGGTGGGTGCCACTACCGAGAAGGCCCTCTGTCTGGTTCCCTGTAACCTCACTTCTCACAATAAGGGAATTTCCAGAAGGCCCTTGGAGCTGGACCTCACAGTGGATCTCAGTGTCCGGGCTGAACTACTGCGGCCTATGTTTTGTTAGCCCAAAAATGGAAAACGAACGAGGTCCCAACCGAAGAAAAGTGGCAACTTAAGCTGACAGAATATGCACCGTTTGCAGACTTAACACAGAGAATAAGAGAACAAGAAGAACATACGTTTAAGGAAGATTGGAAAACGTTTATTGAATGTATGGGAAATAACTGTGTACAGATGAAAACGCTGGCAGCATTGAGATAAATTCAGCAGTGCAAACAAGTTTGGGTGGGTGCAATAATGGAATACTGAATGGTACAGTTTTTGTAAAATGTGCAGGGATTTAGGCTATGTAAAATGATCCTTGGAAAGAGAAGAAGGGAAGTCACTGATATCTTAAGGATGTATAAATGAGTACTTTAAATTCTAAAACTGAAAATTTTATAAAAACTATAAAAAAACCCCAGTGGTCAGGTGGCCATCAGGTGGGGGTTTAGGACGTGCCCCCCTCAAGTGGCCTGTTATGCAGTCCTATAGCCTCCCCCCACCCTCGCCCCTCCTCAGCACCATCTATGGGTCTCTCCATCTTCAAGGGCAGCAATGCCTTTGCATACCAGTTCCTGGAAGCCACAGTTCTCCTATGCTCGGATCCTTATTGCAAACTTCCCATAGGCTCCACTTGGCCACTGTGAGAATAGGATGCTGATTCAGTAGGCTCTCCTTTTATTCAAAACCATACATTTGAAGCAGACACACCCCAAGAATCATGGGAACTGCAGTTTGCCCCATCACAGAACTACAACTCCCAGCACCCTTAACAAACTACAGTTCCCAGGATTCTTTGAGGGAAGGTCATGTCCTTTAATTGTACAGCAGGAGCACAGTCTCAGGCAAGGCGGGACCCCCAGCCCCTCACAGAGATTGAGGCTGGGAGATTATTTTTGCCCGCAAAGCATTAACCCTTTGCCAAAAAGCTAGGCTGCGTTGGCCGGGAATCGAACCCGGGTCAACTGCTTGGAAGGCAGCTATGCTCACCACTATACCACCAACGCTGGCGACTGAGGCTGCCTCCAGCATCACCTTGGCTGGGAACTTCTCCAAAAACATCTGACACTCCCTGGAGCGTCACAGGCAGATTTCTGGCCTCATCTACAAAGGCTGCCCTTCTTAGCATCTTGGAAAACTGGCTCTGCAATATTGCACCATGGTTTCTGAAAGGCTGGAACTGGTAAGTCTGGCGCAGGGCTGGCCCACCTGTGAGACAAGCTGAGACAACCGCCTCAGGTGGCAGGATCCCCAGGGGCAGCAGATCTGACCTCCAAGTTCCCAACAACGTTAGATCTTCACTCCCTCCCTTATTTCCTAGCCAGTGTTGCAGTTTGCCTCAGGTTTCAAAATACCTTGGCCCAGCCCTGGTCTGGGGGCAGCTCCAAAACGTCCCTTTGGCGACTTCCGGGGTGGCGCCATCGGCAATGGTGGACTCCCTCTGAACAGGAGGGACTAGCTCCGCGGGAAACGGGTCTTCTCCGCTACGGCGAAGCGGGGACCCTTTCAAAAATCACAGGCGGATGAAGCCTGTGACAATGGGACTCAGCGGGCACCTTTAGCGCCCCCCCCCAGCTCGCTAAGGAACCCACTAACGAGCTCCGAAGGGAAGAGGGGGAAGTGGCGCGGTGCTGTGAGTCAACTGCTATTTCCGTGGAGCGAAGCCGCATAGCTGTTGCCGGAGAGCGCTGCCTTTTTCCTGGGACAATTTGGACTCTAAAATAAGCACCCGTGAGTACTTAGACTTTGAACAACTGGACATTAGATGGGGACTTGCGAGCAGAAAGGAATTGGATTTTAAAAATCTATTTCAATTTGGTACGGAACGGGAAGGTCTAAACAGGAAGTCAGCCTTCCGTTCTTTTGTAGATAGAATAAAGCAAAGACAACGTAAACTAGAGCTCAGAAAATCGCTTTTAAAGGATTGGATTTCATCATTTAAAATTGTGGAACCCCCCTTCGACAGCAGGAGAAGAAGGGGGATCTTTTTTGGACTGTTTAAAGTGAGTTTAAAGTAAAGCAACTTTCCTCCGTCCTGATCCTGGAGCGGGGTGTCAGGACTGACGTTTGAAGTTCATTGACCAGACACAAACGTTTTTGACAGATAGCTAAAAGAAGAGAAACATAGTGATTCCACTGTTTCCCTTCGCATTTCAAAGGAACAAATATTGACAAGGTATCTTAAAAAGGGAAACTTTGTTGCAAGATCAAATAGAAGTTTTCCCCCTAGAGGGAGACTGTAACCAACTCCAGGGAGCCGGTAGCTGTTTACAGACTACAAGCGTGGGAATAGGCATTTGACCTTGCAGGACAATGTATTCTGAAGCTTTGTTGTGTGCTCTCTACAAAACAAATGCCCTATTGGAACAGTTACATGAGAAGGTGAATTTGATGATGACTTCGACTAGAAATTTTGAACAGGCAGTGGGAAATTTTGAACAGACAGTGGGAAAATATGTGGAGCCCACCCAGGAATTAAATCAGGAGTGTGTCCTGACAGAACAGGCCCAACAGGAATATGAGTTTTCAGATTTGACAAATGAACTTGGAAAAAGCCAGATTTGGAAAGAAAAAGTTTGGTTT